GAATGGCTTGAACCCAGGAGGCAGAGATTACAGTGAGCCCAGATTGTGCCACTGCACTCTAGCCTGGGCAACAGAGCCAGGCCCCATCCAAAAAAAAAAAAAAAGGGCAGGCACTTTAGCTCACACCTGTAATCCCAGCACTTTGGGAGGCCAAGGCGGGCGGATCACCAGGTCAGGAGATCGAGGCCATCCTGGCTAACACGGTGAAACCCCATCTCTATTAAAAATACAAAAAATTAGCCGAGTATGGTGGTAGGTGCCTGTAGTCCCAGCTACTCGGGAGGCTGAGGCAGGAGAATCGCTTGAACCTGGGAGGCAGAGGTTGTAGTGAGCTGAGATCGCACCACTGCACTCCAGCCTGGGCGACAGAGCAAGAATCTGTCTCAAAATAAATAAATAAAAACAGAACTGCCATATCATCCAATGATCCTGAGTACGTATCCAGAGGAAATGAAATTAGGATTCAAAAAAGACGTCTGCACTGCCATGGTTACTGCAGCACCATTCACAAAGGCAAGATATGGAAACAGCCGAAGTGTGCGCCAATGGATGAATGAATAAAGAAAATGTGGTATTTATTTAAAGAAAGAACAAAATAAAAATAAAACAAAGACAATGTGGTATAGATCACAATGGAGTATTATTCAGTCTTAAAAAAGGAGGCCGGGCACAGTGGCTCACACCTGTAACCCCGCACTTCGGGAGGCCGAAGCAGGTGGATCACCTGGGTCAGCAGTTCGAGACCAGATTGGCCAATATGGTGAAACCCCATCTCTACTAAAAACACAAAAATTAGCCAGGTGTGGTGGTGAGCACATGTAATCCCAGCTAGTGGGGAGGCCGAGGCGAGTGAATTGCTTGAACCCAGGAGGCAGAGGTTGCAGTGAGCCGAGATCAAGCCATTACACTCCAGCCTGGGCAACAAGAGCGAAACTCTGTCTCAAAAAAAAAAAAAAAAAAAGAAGAAGAAGAAGAAGGAATTCCTGTCATTTGCAAGAAATGGGATGAACTGAAGAATGTTATGTAAAGTAAAATAAGCCAAGAACAGAACGACAGCCACACGATCTCTCACACGTGGAATCCCAACTTCTATGAAAAGCTGAACTCCTAGAAGCAGAGGAGAACTGTGGTTACCAGGGGCTGGCAGAGGCGGAGGACTGGGGAGATGTTGGTCACAGGGTCAATGCTTCAGTTAGACAGGAAGAATAAATTCAAGGGATCTATTGCACAACATAGATGACTAGAGTTAACAACAACGTGATATATACTTGAAAATTGCTGACAGTAGATTTTAAGTGCTCTCAGCACAAGTAGAAAGTACTTGAGGTCATGGCCGGGAGCGGTGGCTCACGCCTGTAATCCTAGAACTTTGGGAGGCCAAGGCAGGCAGATCACAAGGTCAGGAGATCGAGACTATCCTGGCTAACATGGTAAAACCCCGTGTCTACTAAAAAATACAAAAAATTGGCCAGGCGTGGTGGTGGGCGCCTGTAGTCCCAGCTACTCAGGAGGCTGAGGCAGGAGAATGGCATGAACCCGGGAGGCAGAGCTTGCAGTGAGCCAAGGTTGCGCCACTGCACTCCAGCCTGGGCAACAAAGCAAGACTCCATCTCAAAAAAAAAGAAAGTATATGGGGGGCCGGGCGCGGTGGCTCAAGCCTGTAATCCCAGCACTTTGGGAGGCCGAAACGGGTGGATCACGAAGTCAGGAGATCGAGACCATCCTGGCTAATACGGTGAAACCCCGTCTCTACTAAAAAATACAAAAAACTAGCCGGGTGAGGTGGCGGGCGCCTGTAGTCCCAGCTACGCGGGAGGCTGAGGCAGGAGAATGGTGTGAACCCGGGAGGCGGAGCTTGCAGTGAGCTGAGATCTGGCCACTGCACTCCAGCCTGGGCCACAGAGTGAGACTCCGTCTCAAAAAAAAAAGAAAGTATATGAGGTCATGTATGTGTTAATTAGCTTGATTTAGCCATTCCACAAGGTATACATATTTCAAAACAGGTCAGACACCACAAATATATACAATTTTGTCAATTAAAAAAATAATTTTTCACATGCCTGTAGTCCCAAGCTACTCGGGAGGCTGAGGCAGGAGAATGGCTTGAACCCAGGAGACGCAGGTTGCAGTGAGCCAAAATCGTGCCACTGCACTCCAGCCTGGCAACAGAGTGAGACTCCGTCTCAAAAAAAAAAAAAAAAAAAAAAAAATTTTTTTAAATCAAATACAAGGCAGTTATGATAAATCAATCATAATGTATGAGAAGATAACCTGCCTTATATTAACATAGTAGTCCCCCCTTATCTCTTACCCTGTTTTACTTTCCTTGGTTTCAGCTACCCACAATCAAACACAGTCCAAAATATTAAATAGAAAAATTCCAGAAATGAACTCATGTTTTAAATTGCACGCTGCCCTGAGTATTGTCATAAATTGTTCTATTTTGTTATTTATTGTCAGTCTCTCGCTGTGTTTCATTTATAGTCACACTTTATCATAGGTATATAGGTATGAGAGTAGCCCTGTGGAGAGGGAAGGACTACGGTATGCAAAGGAGCTTGTGCACATCCCTGAGATAAACAGGAAAGAGCAAAGGACGTGCAATTCTCAGAAGACAGAGAGATGGCCGGCAGACATATGGGGACTGTGCTGACTGCCCCTAGGATGAACAGAGGCACTCAGCTGCCCTTCCAGAGCTGACCGACAGCAGTGCGGCTCGGTGCTGCGGAAATGTTCCCTTGTCCCCGTCGCAGGGTGTGTGATGTGGGTGTGAACTGCTTCTTCAGTGCCCCACTGCCCAAACCTCTAGGGGAGCACAGAGACGGACAGGCTGTATCTAGGGGTGAATGTCTACAGCTGAAGTCCCAGTGGGCGTGTGTTCCAGGGTGCTCTTTTACTTTGCTGTCTATAGGCAGCTTGTGTTAGCCAGTTCAATTATACCCTTTACTTCTCACAAGGACAGAGGGCTTTCTGTATCCCAGGTTCTTGCCCCTTGGTGTAATGGAAGAATCGGATCATACCTGGGCTTGGAGAATGAGTGTAAAGTGTTATTGAGTGGAAGAAGCTCTAAGCCAATGGGGGAGCCGGAAGGCAGATGGTCTTCCCCTGGAGTTGGGCCGCTTGGCGGCCCCGGCTCTCCTCTGACCGACCGTCCTGGCCAAACTCCGCCTTGTCCAGCCAGTCGATGGCCTGCCAGCGTGCTGGCGTCTGTTGGTGTGCTCTTCCACGGGTGTGCTCCCCTCGAGGTCCAGCTGCTGTGTCTTCTTCCGTCAATCTGCTCCTCTCCATGTCCAGCTGCCTGTGTCCCTGCCTTGCTAGCGTCTTGGAGTTTGTTTGTTTGTTTGTTTTGTTTTGTTTTTTTGAGACAGAATCTTGCTCTGTCACCCAGGCTGGAGTGCAACGGCGCGATCTCGGCTCACTGCAACCTCCGCCTCCCAGGTTCAAGAGATTCTCTTGCCTCAGCCTCCTGAGTAGCTGGGATTACAGATGCCCACCACCATGCTCGACTAATTTTTGTATTTTTAGTGGAGACGGAGTTTCACCATGTTGGCTAGGCTGGTCTCAAACTCCTGATCCACCTGCCTGGGCCTCCCAAAGTGCCGGGATTACAAGCATGAGCCATCACCCTCGGCCTGGGTCTGTTTTTATAGGCACAGGAGGAGGGTATGGCAGGCCAGGGTGGTCTTGGGAAATGCAACATCTGGGCAGGAAGGCAGGAGTGCCTGTCCTCACCTAGGTCCGTGGGGGTGGAGCCCTAGCCAGAGACCATGCCCTACTCTACCCAGCACTTCCCTTCCCCCATTCCATAAGGGACCACGCTGTTCTCTTCCTAGCACTCCCATATGAGCAGCTGGATAAGGGCTCAGTGGCAGAGCCAGTAAGCCACGAGCAGGCATGGAAAATCCCTGTGCCCTGTCCCACCACCTATAAATGGTGATGATCAGTGATGACCAGTACCTCTATTTGTAGGCTACATGGCAAAAAGTGTCACAAGTCAAAGACTTGCAGTGAGGCCAGCACACAGTTGAACACCAAGAGCATCTGACGTGCTGAGGACAGGGGCCACTCAGGTGCTGGTGCCAGTAGCAGAGCCTGAAGAACAGCTGCAACAAGACTCAGTGGCTAAATTTCCACTTTTCCACATCTATCTACAGATGCCCTAACACTAGTACACAGACATGTATGTAACGGGGATGTCAGAAAAAAAACACAAATGCTAATCAGGGCTCTGGTTAAATTACTAAAAAGCAAACGAACGGGAGAAGGTGGCAGGCAGGTTTGATAGGGTTTTCTCTCCCTACATAGCACACATTTCTGTGTGAATGAAAGAGCTGCTTCCTTTTCATTTATTCAACCACATTCAGTAAACACCCGCCAGTCACCATCACAGGCCCAGAGTTCCTGTCTTGAAAGCCCTCCGGCCACAAACAGCATGGCTGCCCCACCCGTGCACACAACAGAGGCACTGCATTGGGTCTGAAAGGGTTAGGTGGGGGTGTGCGAGGCTGTGCAGGCCACAGGAACCATAGCCCAGAAGCACTGGTGAGCCAGCCTGCGGGGCTGGGTGTGTGCAGGGAGAATAGGAGGTCACAGAATGCCCCACCCATGCGTCAGGTCCAAGGAACCTTCTCTCCTAGCACAGCAGCCGCAGAATCAACCTCCAAAGTCACCAACAAGGCCTGGGCTGATGACCCAGGGAAATGCAATCCCACAGCCCACTGCTCACAGTCCACCGAGAACATGGTTCCTCAATACAGGTCACACCAAGCTGTGTCACTGGTGCGCGTGCAAACCCCCAAAACCAGGTGGCTCCTCCAGCTCAGTGCAGAAAGCACATTTCTCATGATGGGCAGCAGTCCGTGTTCTCTGAGCACTGACTAGGAGCTCGCAAGAGCCACGGGAGCCTTTCATGGTGCTCCTACCCCAAAGAGACCAAGCTGTGTGGACTGGCACAGACAGAGGATGTCTACCCCAAATAACCAGCTCTGTGAAAGGGGGCTATGAGACAGAGGGTAGCAACCAGGCTTCTCTCCTGGGCCTCTGTGGACCCTGGGAAAGAAAACTAAGCACAGGCACCTGTTTCCTGACACAGGCGACAGCCACAAACTCAGGCAAACACACGCCCCACATCCTCCACCTCTGATCCCCTGGTGTCCTGCAGCAGTCAGCAATCAACACCAGCCAGTGGGAAATGATGAAGTGCAGGTCTCCACAAGCCACAGAGGCCTGCATGTCAGTTTCAAGTTAAAGACAGCTCAACCTCAGGTCATTCCACTCTGACATCAAAGAGAGACCAGAGACACCTGTTCACGAGGACCTTGGGAGCCTGAGACTAAGCAGTGAAGATCCTGCTGACAGCAGCACCCCAGGGTGCCCAGACTGTCCATGCAGCCACGTCACAAACACGTACCGCCGATGAAACATGCCGCAAACAACGATTCCCACACGCATCTCCAGCCCTCGCCTCCCCAGGACATCTCCATCCATAGTCATCGCACTGAGACCCAACAGCTCTAAACTAATCACCCTCACCTGACTTATCACCGGCCCTACCCTGCCTGCGTCTTACCGCATCGTGTGCGTTCACCACCATCCCCTTCCAAAGTGGTTCCTGCCTACGGGGCTGTCCCCGACCCAACTCTGCTCACACCCCTGAGTTCGGCCACGCCCCCGTACCCCTTTCTGCTTACCTCACTGCACTTGAGTTTATGGGTCTGTCCCTTCCCCACCTGAGCAGGCAAAGGAGCCCCTCCCCAGAGTGTGTAGGGCCGAGCCACCAGCGCCCGCGGAGGGGTTCCTCTGACCCTAACACTGCAGCTGCACTGACGCTGCCCGAAAACCCGACCCCAAATCGGCCGCTCAGCTCCTGCCCGGCAGCCCCTAGGTCTCACCTTGGCTGAGTGAGGGCTGGCTCCCCGCGGCCCTGCCAGCTCTATGCCCTGCACGCTATGACCAGTCATCCTCGTGACTAGGGACAAATCACCTTCCTGCTCGCGATCGTCAGAGAATACGGAAGGCATACGGAGGCCGGGGCACGCCGGCTTTGCAGGCTCCAGGCGTATGCTTGGCTTCCCGGAGAGAGGACCCCCGGTGGCCCCGCTTGGGGGAGAAGGGCCGGGGACCACCGCGCTCCCGGGGAGGGCCGGGCACCGGGGACCACCGGGGTTCCGGGAGGGGCGGGCACCGGGGACCACCGCGCTCCCGGGAGGGGCGGGCACCTGGAACCACCGCGCTCCCCGAGGAGGGGCGGTCGAGCGGCCGAGACCACTTAGCGGCGCGGAGGAGAGAACAGCCGCACAGCTCCGGCCTCTCTTCCGGGCTGTGGCGCGGCGCACACCTGAACCAAGGTCCCCGCGACACCCAGGACCCTCCCAGCGCTCGCCCTGTGACCTTGGGGAGGCGCCTCCTGACTCGGCTTCCTCCGCGGCCCCGCCAAGGGAGCGACCTCAGGCTATCCAGCCCAGACTTCCCCGGGAGGCGCTTCCCCAGCGCCGCCGAAGGCTCATCCCCGCCCGCCGTTTACCTGAGGAGCCGCCGCCACCTCCGCCGGGGCGCCGCCTTCCCGCCCAGCAGTGGCCCCGGAGTGGGCGGAGCCTCGCGCGCCGAGCCCGCCCTCGCTGCCTTCTGGCCAACCGCAGCCCGGAGCGCGGCAGTAGGTCCCCGCCCCCGAACGATCTCCGCAGTTATTGGTCAGGTGCACGTCTCTCACGCTCGCTCCACCCCGCCCACCTTCATTTGCAAAGCAAGAGTGCGCAGACTCGGCTTTCGCTCGGCCCCGCCCCCGGCCGCTCCTGGGCCACCGCCTCTGTCTGAAGAGCGCCAGCGCGGCCGCCACTGCGCAGGCGCGGCCTTCAGGCTCGTGACAGCGACGCCAGCCGTCCCCGTGCCCCCGTCGGACGCACAGAGCCCTGGCGACCTCCGCTCCCAGACGCCGGAGACGCGGGCTCGGCGCGGCGTTGCGGCCGCTCGCAAGCACACGCCCGCCCTCTGTCTGCCCGGAAGCGCCCGCTGGAGGCCGCGGCACCGGGAGAGGGGCAGGACACTCGGGGCCCTGCGCTCGTTGGGAAAGAGGCGGCCAGCGGGGTCCCGGGAGCTCGGGACGCGATAAGAGCGATGTGAGGAAGGAAAGCGCCCGCCGCGCGTCCAGGCTGGGCGTCGGCAGAGGCGGAGGCGGCGGGAGCAGCGCAGGCAGGATGTCCACTCCAGGCCGGAGGGACTGGGCTCCCGCTGTGGGGACGGCGCCCAGGAGAGCACAGGACCCTTCGCGGATGTGGGCGCGGCCCCTGCGGCGACTTGCCACGCGCCTGTGGCCCTGTCCCCTCCCGGTCTCGGAGTCGCCTCCGCGCCACGCACACAGCTGCTGCGCGCAGCACAACCCCGCTTTCGCTCCGACCGCAAACAAGCGCCAGCCCCTCCGCCAGGGGGCAGGCCTGAGTCTGCATTTTCTCCCTAGGGCTCCGCACAAATCCCAGCACGGGACGGCTGCCCAGTGAAGCCCCGGGAATGAATTCAAGTGCAGCCAACGACGCGGATAATCGAGACTGCAAAGGGAGGGTGGACAGAGCCAATGGCCGTTCTGAGCCTGCAGTCATCAGTTGGCTTGACACTCGCGGGCTTCCGGCCGCGCCCTGGCACTGGTGGGAGCCGGGAGGGAGAGGAGGTGCGCCGCAGGGAGCGCAGGCTCCCAGGCTCCGCTGCAGAGCCCAGAGGCTCAGCTACCCTGGGTCGGGACCACCTGGCTCCGGTTCTAGAGTGGCCGTTTCTTGCAGCCCCCACCTTCGACGAACTCCACCCTGCCCCCGTGCCTCTCCAGCCCTTCTAACACTTGAGCAACCAGTCCCACCTGCTTAAATTGCCTGAAGCAGTTTCTCTTTTTTCCTCACCCCCAGGTCAACCACAAACCAGTTTGTTTTTTCTGAGGTCTGTCACCCAGGCTGGAGTGCAGTGGTGCTCACTGCAACCTCAACCTCCCCGGGCTTAGGTGATTCTCCCACCTCAGCCTCTGGAGTAGCTGGGACCACAGGGCACACCACCACACCTGACTGATTTTTAAATTTTTTTGAAAAGACAGGGTCTCACTATGTTGCCCAAGCTGGGTTTTTGTTTTTGTTTTTGTTTTTTGAGAGGGAGTCTCGCTCTGTCGTCCAGGCTGGAGTGCAGTGGTACAATCTCTGCTCACTGCAACTTCTGCCTCCCAGGTTCACGCCATTCTCCCGCCTCAGCCTCTTGAGTAGCTGGGACTACAGGTGCCTGCCACCACACCAGGCTACTTTTTTTTGTATTTTTAGTAGAGATGGGGTTTCACCATATTAACCAGGATGGTCTCGATCTCTTGACCTCGTGATCTGCCAGTCTCGGCTTCCCAAAGTTGTGAGATTACAGGCGTGAGCCACCGCGCTCGGCCCAAGCTAGGTTTTATTGTTGAAATGAGGCCTCTCACTGTTACCCAGGCTGGAGTGCAGTGGCACGATCACAGCTCACAGCAGCCTTAAATTCCTGCGCTCAAGTGATCCTCTTGCCTCAGCCTCCCAAATAGCTGGAACTACAGGTGGGCATCACCAAGTCTGGCTAATTTTTAAGTTTTCTTGCAGAGACAAGGTCTCACTATGTTACCCAGGCTGGTCTGAAACTCCTGGACTCAAGAGATCCTCCTGCCTTGGTCACCCAAAGTGCTGGGATTACAGGCATGAGGCACTACACCCAGATCTTGTCCTTATTTCCTGTATCCCAGGCAATTTGCCAAACAAGGGATGAGGGTGAGCAAAGGAATATCAAACACATGCCTTGCTCTCAAAAGCTCATGGTCCAAAAGGGATGAAAAAGTGTGTTTTTCCAGTTCAAGCCAGCTCGTTCCAGGGCCTTTTCTGCAGCAAACATGCCACGTGCACCCACAGATCTCGGTAGAGGAGACTCCAATTCCCCAGACTCACTGGCCTGTACCAAGCACTGGCCCCTTGCAGACATTCCCAGGATGGCTGCCCTCCAGGCTCACAGCCACTGTGCTGTCCAGCTCACAGCAGAGATGACACCTTTGGGTTGGGCTTCCCCACCATGGGGCCTTAATTTCATCATTTGTAAAGCGAGGATTGCTTGGTTGTGTTAGGACTTGAGATCCTGGATGGTGAACTGCCCCCACGGGCCGGGCACCTGAATGTGTTCTGTGAATGGGGGCAGGACTGCTACAGGTGGTAGCTGTAGCTGGCGTGACTGCCCAGAATGGCACCCAGCACACAGCTGGCACTCAGACGTTACCAATAGTGCCCACAGCGCACTCTGGGGTCCAGAAGGGAGGGGCAAAGTTGGCTTCTGTCTCTTGGAGCTGTAGGATCAGAGGTGAGCTCAGGGGTGGGGTCCTTGCTTGCCCTAGGGTGTGTGGTCAAGTCTGCAGAGGTCTCTAGGTGGGAGGCTTCCTGCATCCTGCTGGCCTGGGCTCCAGTGGAGAAGGCTGGGAGACAGACAGGGCTCCAACCACCATTTCAACTGCACGCCTTCCTCTGGCTCAGCCCACCTTAGGGCCCAGCTGAGTGTGGCCGTGGTATCCTCTCGAAGGAGGAAGGGGTGCAGTTGAAATGGTGGTTGGCACGTATGTGTCCCTTTTCCTGTCTTTATGCCCCAGAAATCCCCACCCTCATTTCTTTAATGGCCTTCTGTGGCCAGCCACGTCAAGAGGGGTCCACAGAGGCCTCAGCCTGGCTATAGCTCTTGAATTGGGTTTTCACCTCAAAGAGAGTGGGCCCCATGTGGGCAGGACTGGTCCCACAAGATGTCCTCAGAGCGGGCAGGTCCCCAAAACGAGAAGACGTACGCTTCGAGGGCACAATGCAGGTACAGCTCTAGAATTCTCCATTCTAGAACCTGCCCCTCCTCTCCCCAAGCTAGCCCTCCCCCTGCCCAGTCCAGGGCTGTGCCAGCCCCCGCCCTGAGCTCACAGCCCCATCACTCCCTGCTTCTGCCGCAGTCCCAGCAAGTCTTCAGAAGCGTGGCTGCTGCCTCAAGAAGGACGAAGTTCCCACCCAGCGCCCCCCACCTCCCTGGCCCCTGCCCTCTGACACAAGTCAGGCCTCAGTCGTGCCCCCCAAGACTGGTGAAACTGGACCACTACACCCCCTCCCATGCACTGCCCTCCGTGAAGGGCAGCAGCAGGCAGAAGCTGGATCAGAGAACCTTCACAGAGCAGATACATGAGGGCAAGGACAATGGCTACCTGTTCCCCAAAGTGTACTTGGCCGATGCCACCCACAAGTGCATGCACCACAACCCCAAGCTGTCCTCCGATCTGCAGGGCAAGTGCTACACCATGGTAAGGCAGGTTTACCTCCCTCCCCAAGGGGCTCCAGTGCCCCCCAGCCTGGCCAGCAGGCCCCTCTGTGTCCCAAACCCACTCAGGCACCATCCAGCTGCTCCAGCTTCCTCCGTCTGAGACTCTCCCCAGTCCCATTTCCTCCCCAGAGGCCTCTCTGGGGCTCCTGCAGGCTGACCATCCCCTGTTCCCAAACCCCTTGAACACAGAGTACTTGGCACAGGAGGGAGTGGGGGAGGTCATCGCTGCCCTCCAAGGGCACTGCTCACCCAGCGTCCCCCCCTGAGGATTCCAGCAAAGTGTATAAAGGACAGGGGCCTGCCTTACCACAGCCAGCCCCTCAGGGGCCAAGTCTCACACAGCAAGTGCCATCCACCCTACAGATAGCTGTCAAGATCGTCTCCACAACCGAGGCCCCGGTGGAGTTTTCCCGCAAGCTCCTGCCCCGTGAGATCTCCATCACTCAACACTACCTACAAGCACCTGAACGTGGTGGGCAGAGGCCTGGACACAGCCTGTCCCCACCCTCCCCTTCCCCAAGGGTAGCTCTCCCCAGCCAGCTGCCTGCCCCAGGCCTATTGCCCCCTCCCCCCACCTTGGACCTCCCTTTTGCCCCAGGGCTGGAGCCCAACCCCATCCTGGAACCTGGATCTGCTACCCTTGACAGTTCCAGCACACCCTTGGCCCTGCCTCAGGGTGATGGCAGGTGTGTGGGCTGCAGGTGCAGCTGTATGAGACCTATCAGAGCAGCCAGCTCGTGCCGGAGCTGGTGGCCCAGGGCGACCTGCTGGAGCACATCAACGCTGCGTTGGACCACCTCTGCCACCCAGGGCTGGAGGAGAAGGAAGTCTTCAGACTGTTCTGGCAGCTGGTCAGTGCCATGGCACACTACCACAGCGTGGGCATCGCCTACCAGAGAGGGCGGCACCTGGGTCAATCGTCTGCCCACAGGCACAGAGAGGCCCACTTGAGCCCAAGCCAGCCCTACCTCCTGCCTCCCCTCTCCCATGCAGGGACCTGAAGGGCGAGAACATCCTGCTGGACAGCCACGGCCTTCTCAAGCTGACCGGTGAGCCCACAGCCCCCGCCCGGACCCCAGCCTGGGGTTGAATGCCTCCACCTGCAGGGCCCACACCCCATGCTTGTCCCAGCCAGGCCTCTGCCTTCAGCTCTCCCAGAAGGCCTGCGGGCCACCCTTACCCACGGGCCTGAGGCCACTGGCCTAACCCCTACGTATGCCCCAGACCAGGCCCACCTCATCCACACCCACACTCTTGCTGTCGGCCACACACTGCATGCAACCCCGCAAGCCTCCACAGCCATCCCTGCAGACTGGCATCCTGCACCCGACCCTCACGCACAGTGCCACCCTCCCCATGCACCTGGTACAGATTTTGGCTTTGCCGACTGCGTGGGGCCCAGGAACTCACTGCTCAGCACTTTCTGCGACTCCCCAGTCTACACAGCCCGAGATCCTCGTGAGCAGCAAGTATAGCAGGGAGCAGGCCGACCTGTGGAGCCTGTGAGTGCCTCCCAGGGAGCCCTGACCCCAGGCAATGGGGCAACCTGTGGAGTCTGAGTGCCCCCAGGGCACCCCAACCCTGTGGCCAGGGCCCATGGGAGGGCTGGGGAGAGGCCACACCCGTAGCTCATGTCCCCAGAGGTGTCATCCTCTATGCCATGGTGAGTAAGAAGCTGCCCTTCAAGGAGCCCCAGCCCCACTGCATGCTGCACCTCATGCACTGCGGTCCCACCTTCTGGCCAGGTCTGTTCCCAGGTAAGCACCACCCCATGACCTTCCCACACCTAGCTCAGGCCTAGAGAGCGGCAGTGAAGAAGACCTGGACTCCCAAGGGGGTAGTCCTGCGTGGTGGAAGAGACCGAACCTGGCATCCTCCCCACTTAGGCTGGGAAGCGTTTGGTCCATGCACGGCAGTGACAAGTTCTGGGGAAGCTGGACTGGTGGAGGACCTGACTCAAAATGCAGTTCAGCAAAGGCTGTGGCTGCGAACCTGAGCTCTGCACTAGCCCAGGGCACACTGCCTTGCCCCTCTATGCCTCAGTCTCCCCACTGGCGACAGAACTGACCCCTCTAAGCTGCTGGCACCATTGGCAGTGATGTGCATGGGGTGAAGGTGGGTGCTGGAGTGGTGAGAGGCTGCAGCTGTGAGCCCTCGCCCACAGTGCCAGGACCTGATTTGGGGGCTGCTGCAGCTGCGTCCAAACACATGCCTGGGCCTGCAGCGAACACGCTCTTCCACAGTGCTGTGCCAGGTGTGGTGTGGCCCTGTGGGTGAGCAACTGAGCAGCACGTGGTCCCTCTGCACTCCACCTGACCCCACTGTGGTCCCTTGCAGAGAAGCAAGTGCAGTCCCAATTCCCAGCATCCATGGATGACCTGGAGCCTGGTACAGACTTAAGAGTGCCAATGGCCAGTCCTGTAGCTGCACTGCCCCCAACAGCAGGGCATCCCCAAGGAGAACGAGGGCCCTGAGCTCAGGCCTCCGGAAGCACACCCCAGAAGAGGGGTGGGTTCCACCCAGCTGGTGCTCTGGAGCACTGTGGCAGCCAGCCTAGGAGTAAGCGCCTCCAGGAGGCGTTCCAGTAAACTGAGGGTGGGGGGGGGGGGGCAAGGCCAAATAAAGCATTTATTCTGTGAAGAGAGTGCAGATGTCTGAGTGCTGAGAGGGCAAGTGGCCTCCAGTGGCAGGCGGGGGCTCTGGCCAGGGGAAAACATGGTCCACACATGCCTGCATGAGTGGCAGAGCTTTATTGGGGGCAGGTGAGAGGAGATCCTGGAGGCAGGAGACGCCTGGCACCCGAGCCTCCAGTTTTAGGGTGTGGAGTGAGGCATTGTGAACACTCAAAAAAACAAGTTAAGCTCCTTCACCAGGGTTCAAGGGGCCTGGGAGGGCCCATCAGTGAGAAGGGGCCAGCCCTCAGGAGCCCAATGCAAGAGGTGGCAGTGAGGTCAGATCGGCTCAGGAAGGGAAGAGTGTGGCAAGCCCCTGTGGGGCTTAGCAGCCACAGACCTGGCAGGTGGGGGGATGCACACAGGTCCAAGGGAGAAGCAGGTAAGATCCCTGAGCCCATAGTGGGCTCTACCACAGGGGCAGAGGGTGGCTGGGGGAGAGGCTTGGACAGGGGCCAGGCTGCAGGCACATCTGGAGGCTCTTGGCAGAGGTAGGAAGGCCAGGGAGGAGTGGCCCAGGCTCAAGGAAGCTGACCAGGGAGATGGCCTAGCTAGAGAGGCCAGTGAGAGCACCCACCCAATCTGAGACTGGGAAACAGGAAGACATAGGGAGTTGACAGGGTTGAGGGCAGGGTCCTGGAGCACAGGTCAAGCAGGGAGGCACAGTCCTAGAAAGACCCCAGGATCTAGGTATGGCTGGGTCAGCCCTTTGAGGCCAGGTCTCAGGGAACAGGGAGCTGAGAGGGAACAGGGAGCTGAGAGGGTCTCATGGCTCCCTGGCTATCCGCCTGCCACCTCCACCTTCTGCACAGGCAGCAGAGTCACGGTGCCTGGCCCACAGTACTGCTGTGCGCAACCTTCATTCTTGCTGGTAGCAACACTGCACAGGGCTGGGAAGTGCCTCCAATTCTTACTGGAGCCTAAGTGTAGCTCTGCTTCTCAGCAGGGCACAGTCTCTGAGCAAGGGGACTCAAGGGGCCTGTAGGCAGCTGCAGGAAAGCCTGGTCTGAGAAAGCCTGGCAAAGGGGACCCTGGAGCTTGTGTCCGGCTGCAGGGGCCTCAGGTGGGTGTGGCCCTCTCCACCCATGGCTCTGGGGCCAGCTCCAGCTCCCGCTCCTGCTCCCGCTCCAACTGCTCCTGCTCCCGGCAATCCAGCTGCTGCAGCTGCTGCTCCACATCCTCAGGCACCTGCACCTCCAGCAGGTTTTCCATGCCACGTTCAGGCTCATCCCCAATTAGCACCTGCCAGACGGGAAGCAGGTGAGCAGCGGCCAGCTACAGATACCCCTTCCCCAGCCTCTCCAACCCTGCACCCACCTGGATGAGCTTCTCACAAGCCGCCCGAACATCGGGCTCTGGCTCCCAGCTGTGCAGCTCTCGAAGGATCAGGTAGGCTCCCTGGTCCCGCACCTGCTGCCGACCTGGTGCTGTGGCTGTCAGCTGAGGAGGTGGAAGAGGTTACCCAGATGTCAGCATGCTCGTGTGTGTGTCAGGGATGGTGCTTATTGCAGCAGGGCTCCTGCTCACCAGCATGATGGCTTCAACAAGCATCTTGCGGATGTCTGCATCAGGTTCTCGCTGCTTGTCTGGTGGCAGGTACTGTAAGTCCACAGGCAGCCCTAGGGGTGAGCGTGTGGGAGTCACTGTGTCCCTGAGCTGGGCAGCTGGGCCAGGCTCTGCCTGTGTAAGTCCCACCTGTGCTCAGCAAACTCACTGCTGCAAGGTTTCAGAAGGAGCCTGTGGCCTGGACACCTCTCTCTCCCTCCACTGGCCTCCCTCCTCTCTGGCCAACTCTGAGGCTCCACACTAGCCACTCACGTTCCATCTCTTCCTCGGAGAAATCCTCAGGCCCAGCCAAGGGCAGGAGCAAAAAGGGGAGAATGTCCACCTCAGGTCCAAGCAACCACTCGTGATGTCCTGAGGGACGGTGAGGGTAGGGAGACAGGAATAGAGACTGGTCCAGAGTAGCCCCGAGTCCAGTCCCCACCCCTGGCGACGCCCCCCCGCTACACCCACCACTCACGGTGCTCGAAGCAGCAATTCCGCAGCGTTCCCACCACCCCGCCCCTGCGTACAGAGGAATCGGGGTACTGGGTAAGGGGCAGCAGCCGCTGGACCACGCACCTGTTGGGAGGGGTCACTCAGGGCCGTCCCCGTTAACTTCCGTCCCCTCCCCGCCCGCGCGGGCGCCCTGGGCTTCACCTGTCGGGGTCCAGTAGGAAGGCCCTCGCCGCAGGCAGTTGGCTGACGTTGGAGAGCAGCGGCGCCAGGTAGTGCAGGGGCGCGCGGGCGTTGTAGCCGGGCGTGCACAGCGCCCGCACCAGCCGCTCCAAGCCCGAGTCTGCCGGCTCCGCGGCCGCCAGCGCAGCCATCAGCTCGGCACACGGACCCGGCTCGCGACTGAGGTTGGCCAGCGCGGCGGCCGCCTCCTCGGCCCAGGGCCACTGCGGGTCCAACGCGCGGCCCAGCAGGCGCGCTGGCAGCCCGGGATCGGCCGCCAGCAACGTCTCGTGCAGGCCGGGGTCGGCGGCCAAGTTCACGAGCGCGCGGGCGGCGTCGCGGGCCGGGGCAGAGGCCGGCGCCAGCTCCACCAGAGCCTGCAGCAGCGCCTCCTGTCCCGCCAGCAGCGCGCGGCCGGGCCCGGAGCCGGTCAACGCCAGCACGTGCCGCACTGCGGCCGCCTGCAGGTCCGCCCGCGCGCCCGGCGCCAGGAAGGGCAGCAGCTTCACCACCTCCGCCTCCGGGCTTGCCTCCGGCCCTCCCGGCGCGCCAGTGCCAGCCCCGGCCTCCCCCATGTGGAGCAACACTCGGCTGCCAACGGACGGCTCCCAGCGCTCCACTTCGGGGTCTGCTGTGTGGCCCGCAGCTCCGCCCACCAGAGGAGCGAAAGCCGCCCTGGCCAATCCGAGGCTGCGCACTGGGCTCAAGGGGCGGGAACGGCGTGCGGGGGCGGGGCCAGGCCGCGCGCGGGGTGTTATGGGTCTCGGTGTCTGGTCGGAAGCTGAGGAGGTCGGGGACTGAACGCTGGAGGTCCCGAGCCCGGGGGGTTGAGGCCCGGCGCGATTTGGCCGCCTCCCGCGTCCACACTCTCTGGAAACCTCCGTATGCTCTCGGCTAGGTCGGCCAGTGCGTCCCACTGGGCGCTGGCCACGCCTAACCTAGTCAGCCGGCCCTGGCCTCTCGGGGGCCCTGAGGGTCTGAGGCCTGCGCCCCGGCTCCTAGACCAGGCTGTCGGGTCGGAGAAGGGCTGAATGGAGGAGTGGCGACGGGCCTGTCGGAAGGAAGGCCTGCTCTTGTCCAGGCTGGCACAGCCACCGAGAAGCTCGGGCCGTCCGGGGACGGGACAACACGGGGCACCCAGGGCGGACCTGAGGAGGCAGCTTTGGAGAGGCCTCTGGACATCTCTGAGCGGGTAGCTTTGGGGCATTTGTCAGGATGTCTTCGGTCGCAAGTGACAAACCCAACTCAAACTGACTTGCACGCAGAGAAAATTTGTAAATAGAGGTTTGGAGGGCTCCAGCTTCAGGCACTGCTGCATCCAGGAGCTCTCTGGAGCCTTGTACTGTTTACCCTACCATCGCTTTCCCTCTCTGCTGCTCTGCTGCTCTGTGGCTCCATCATCTCCACCTGCCACTGGCCGATTTTCTCAGAGCGGCTGGGAAAGACAGACACTGGGACCTCCCAGTTCCATGGTCCTGGCAGAAGAGTTTCTCCCAGTATTGGAGTCTGCCCCAGGAAAGGACTCCAGTTCTTCACCTGTCCTCCACTGTGGGCGGAGCAGCAACCTTCCAGAGACACACAGACTGGGGAGGAAGGGAGGGCAAAAGAAGGGCATTCCCTCCAGCAGTTTTTGGGCACCTGCCATCTGCCAGGCTGGTAGCTCAGGACACGGAACCAAACAACTTTGGTGGCCTTTCTGGCCTCTGGGTCTTTGCACTTGCTGTCTCTTCTGCCTGGAATGCTCTTTCCTCAGCTGTACACAAGGCTGGCAACTTCTAATTATTTGTCAGAGCTGTCTTCCCTGGGCAACTTACAAAGACTCAGCCCACCCATCACCCATGACTGCTTGGTTTCTGTCTGCCTCCTTCAAGATAGCAATACTTAGGCCAGGTGCGGTAGCTCATGCCTGTAACCCCAGCATTTTGGGAGGCCGAGGAGGGTAGATCGCCTGAGGTCAGGAGTTTGAGACCCTCCTGGCCAACATGGTGAAACCCCGTCTCTACTAAAAATACAAAAAAATTAGCCGGGCGTGGTGGCAGGCGCCTGTAGTCCCAGCGACATGGGAGGCTGAGGCAGAAAAATGGCATGCACCCTGGAGGTGGAGCTTGCAGTGAGCCAAGATGGCGCCACTGCACTCCAGCCTGGGAAACAGAGCGAGACTCCGTCTCAAAAAATAAAAAAATAAAAATAAATAAATAAATTTCTATTGTTTAAACCACTCAGTCTATGGCATTTTGTTATGGCAACCTGAACTGACTGAGACAATAGATATGGGCTTTCTTTTTTGGATGTTGAAAATATTCCAAAATTAGATTATGCTGGTAGTCGCACAACTGTGAACATACTAAAAACATTTAAATTGTACACTTTAAATGGGTCGATTGTATTTAAACTATATCTCAAACCTGTTAAAAAGAGGGCACCCATGTAACAGTTGGGACACATTGATACCAAAAAGTATTTGTTGTTTGTCTGAAATTCAAATTTAACTGTATCCTGTTTGTCTGAAATTCAAATTTAACTGTATCCTGTACAGTAAATTTTGAATTCCAGACAAACAGTAAATACTGTATCCTCTATTCGAATTTAACTGAGTACCCTGTATTTTATCTGGCAACCCTATTTGCAGCCTGTCGGCTTTCTGGCACTCACCCATGAGTCTACAGACAACTCTGTTTAGGAAAGAGAACTGCTGCAGAAAAATACCTTCCTGAATACTGAGGAAACCCATGATGTCACCCAAATTGATCAACTGATGTCACTAATGAATGTGAACAAAAACCAAGAATCAGTAGATATTAAGTAAACCAAAGGCATATATTTATTTACAGAGGTAACACAATATGTGAAGCAGAAGAGAATTTTTTTTTTTTTTTTTTTGAGATGGAATCTCGCTCTGTTGCCCAGGCTGGAGTGCAGTGGTGCGATCTTGGCTCACTGCAAGCTCCACTCCTGGGTTCACACCATTCTCCCACCTCAGCCTCCCGAGTAGTTGGGACTGCAGGCACCTTCCAGCACACCTGGCTAATTTTGTTTTGTTGTTGTTGTTGTTGTTGTATTTTTAGTAGAGACAGGGTTTCACCGTGTTAGCCAGGATGGTCTTGATCTCCTGACCTTGTGATCTGCCCACCTCGGCCTCCCTGGGATTACAAGCCACCACGCCTGGCCAGGAACATTGATTGATTGATTGAGATAGAGTCTCGCTCTGTCACCCAGGCTGGAGAGCAGTGGCGCGATCTCGGCTCACTGCAGCCTCCACCTCTCAGGCTCAAGTGATCCTCCCACCTCAGTCTCCTGAGTAGCTGGGACCACAGATGTGTGCCACCATACCTAGCTAATTTTTTTTTTTTTTTTTTTGAGATGTAGCCTCTCTCTTTCATCGGTTTGGAGTGCAGTGGCGTGATCTTGGCTCATTGCAACCTCCGCCTCCCAGGTACAAGCGGATTCTCCTGCCTTAGCCTCCAGAGTAGCTGGGATTATAGGCACTTGCCACCATGCCCGGCTAAATTTTTTTTTTTTTTTTGAGACAGAGTCTCACTCTGTCGCCCAGACTGGAGTGCAGTGCTGCAATCTCGGCTCACTGCAAGCTCCACCTCCTGGGTTCACACCATTCTCCTGCCTCAGCCTCCTGAGTAGCTGGGACTACAGGCACCCGCCACTATGCTTGGCTAATTTTCTCCTGGGTTCACACCATTCTCCTGCCTCAGCCTCCTGAGTAGCTGGGACTACAGGCACCCGCCACTATGCTTGGCTAATTTTTTATATATTTTTTAGTAGGGACGGGGTTTCACCGTGTTGGCCAGGATGGTCTCGATCTCCTGACCTCGTGATCTGCCTGCCTCAGCCTCCCAAAGTGCTGGGATTACAGGTGTGAGCCACCGTGCCCGGTCTAATTTTTGTATTTTTTTTAGTAGAGACAGGGTTTCACCATGTTGGCCAGGATGGTCTCAATCTTTTGACCTCATGATCTGCCTGCCTCAGCCTCTCAAAGTGCTGGAATTACAGGCGTGAGCCACCGCGGCCAGCCAATTTTTGAATTTTTTGCTGAGATGGGGTTTCACCATATTACCCAGACTGGTCTTGAACTCTTGAACTCAAGTGATCTGCCTGCCTTGGCCTCCCAAAGTGCTTGGAGTACAGGTGTGTGCCACCATGCCTGGCCAGAACTTTTTTTTTTTTTTTTTTTTTTTTTTTTTTGAGACGGAGTCTCACGCTGTTGCCCAGGCTGGAGTGCAGTGGCGCGATCTCGGCTCACTGCAAGCTCCGCCTCCCGGGTTCCCGCCATTCTCCTGCCTCAGCCTCCTGAGTAGCTGGGACTACAGGCGCCCGCCACCGCGCCCGGCTAATTTTTTGTATTTTTAGTAGAGACGGGGTTTCACAGTGGTCTCGATCTCCTGACCTTGTGATCCGCCCGCCTCGGCCTCCCAAAGTGCTGGGATTACAGGCTTGAGCCACCGCGCCCGGCCCCAGAACTTTTAAAGAATTCTAGTTAGTATGCTCTGAAAATTCAGGAAAATATTGCATCCATAAAACAAGAACAGATGTCGGCCGGGCGCGGTGGCTCAAGCCTGTAATCCCAGCACTTTGGGAGGCCGAGACAGGCGGATCACGAGGTCAGGAGATCGAGACCATCCTGGCTAATATGGTGAAACCCGTCTCTACTAAAAATTACAAAAAACTAGCCGGGTGAGGTGGCGGGCGCCTGTAGTCCCAGCTACTTGGGAGGCTGAGGCAGGAGAATGGCGTGAACCCGGGAGGCGGAGCTTGCAGTGAGCTGAGATCCGGCCACTGCACTCCAGCCTGGGCGACAAAGCGAGACTCCGTCTCAAAAAAAAAATAAAATAAAATAAAATGAAAGAACAGATGTCATGATAAAGGAGCAATCAAAGAACAAAGATACATTGAACACTGAAATCATGATTGCTGAATTTAAAACCAATGGGAAAGGTGGGCCCAGTGGCTCACGCCTATAATCACAGCACTTTGGGAGGCCGAGGTGGGCAGATCATGATATCAGGAGTTCAAGACCAGCCTGGCCAATGTGGTGAAACCCTGTCTCTACTAAAAATACAAGAAATTAGCCAGGCAGTGTTGTGTGCCTGTAATCCCTGCTGCTCGGGAGGCTGAGGCAGGAGAATTGTTTGAACCTGGAAGGTGGTGGAGGTTGCAGTGAACCAAGATGCAACCACTGCATTGCAACCTGGGGGCAGAGTGAAACATTGTCTCAAAATAAATGCAATACAATACAATACAATACAATACAATACAATACAATACAATACAATACAATACAATACAACACAATACAATACAACACAACACAACACAACAAAACAAAACCAGTGGAAGATTGAATATGGCTGAAGATTGAATTAGTGTTTGACAACTTAAAGTCGGGAGTATATCCAAAATGAAAGACAAAATAGAGCCGGGCACAGTGGCTCACACCTATAATCCCAGTGCTCTGGGAGGCCAAGGTGGGCAGATCACTTGAGGTCAGGGGTTTGAGACCAGACTGGCCAATATGGTGAAACCCTGTCTCTACTAAAAATACAAACGTTAGACAGGTGTGGTGACGTATGCTGTAATCCCAGTATTTATTGATTTATGATGAATAAATACTGAGGGAACTCAGAGACCAGTGCGGGCGGGTCATCCGTATGCTGAGTGCCGGTCCCCAGGGCCC